GTTGTGGGGCTTAAGAATGGGGGTATAAAGGAGAGGGTGGAATTAAAAGACAATTGGTACCTGATTTGAATTGTTGCTGAGATATTGGTGGGGGGTTTTGTGGTTGTTTTTTTTTTTTTAAGAAGGACAAATTTGATAGAAAGATAAATTTCATTATGGAAGTTTTTATTTGTTGCATTCATAGGACATTTGAATAACAATGCCCAGGGAAACATTAGATATGGCAATCCTAGGCCCACTTCAATTATTCGCAAGTAGACCTGTGGTTCTTAATTTTCTCTTTTCCTCCTTGAATCTATTAGTAATAGAAATAAAGGAAGGTAGAAGGAGGCATAATGAAATTGCTAACTCTGGCTTATATAGGTACCCAGACCTTTTCTCAAAATTAAGATATGCTCCCTCTTACCCCTCCAACTGCCTTGAGAATCAACTGAAAGCTGTGGCAATAGATTCTTTAAGACAGTGGTTCTCAACCTGTAGGTCCTGACCCCTTTAGTGTGGAACGACCCTTTCACAGGGGTCTTCCGATTCATAACAGTAGCAAAATTACGGTTACGAAATAGCAACAAAAATTTTATGGTTGGGAGGTCACCACAACATGAACTGTATTAAAGGGTCACGGCATTAGGAAGGTTGAGAACCACTGCTTTAAGAGATTATGTAGAGTAAGCTGAACAAACCCCATTAAATGACTTTTCTGTTTGGTAGAGAAAGGAGCATTTACATAGAGTTTTATGGAAATAGAGCCAAAAGAGGTAGAATTTTGAAAACTGAGGCAAGAAAAAGGGAAAATGATATGCATTGTTACTTGCTTCTGAAGGATCAAGGAAGAAGCATAAGAGAAGTCTTAACAAGTACATAAGTGATCTTGAGAAGAGAATTTTAAGTGTACCAATAACACTGGCCAGTTTACAGATGATTAGAGGGGCATGCATGTGGGTGCTAAAGAAGCAGGGGTAACAAGGAAATGGCTTCCTTCCTTCCTCCATCCTTTCAGGTGAGAATGTTGTAACTAAAGGAAGAGTAGTGTAGTTGTATGAGATTTCCTTTTTTCTTTCTAGTGGAATAATTTGACTCTGTAGATGTTGCTGGGAAGTTCCAGTGTAGGGAAGGAGGAAAAAACAGTAGAACAGGTCCTGGAATATTAAATTTGCTATCTCTGTATAAAGAAGAATTAATGGCAAGCAAATCTAGAAAACAATAGAAACCCAATTAGGATAGTCGAGGTGTAAAGTAATACAAGTGTATATTAATGCTTTGTCAGCAAGAAATGAGGAAACTTTGTAAGACAAATTGAAAAGATGTGGGAAAGGATAGGAATCAAATTGGACTTTGAGAAAATGACAGGTTTTTTTTAATAGAAATGTTTAGGAAAGATAAGATTATATGAAGATAATTCTATATATTGAGCTTTTCTCTTTTTAAAAAGATGTTTACCTGTGTGTTGTTTTAGGTTTTCCAACCTTTTATTGTGAATTGGTTGGGAGTTTACATATAATCACATCATCCTTTATGCTTTCAACAACTTAAAACAATTTATCAAGCCTCCTAATAACTTGCTCCCCACCCTTTACCCCAATCTCCTTCTTGTAGTATATTATCTTCCCTTTTATCTAAGGTAACACCTGTCTACCCTCACGCTTGTTGTTTTCCATTTCCCTCCTACCCCTAGCATCAAAAGTTGTTTCTTTTTGGTATGAAAATGTTTTCTTAGTTTAAAAAAATGTTTATAACAGTAATATAATATTTGCCCTTTTCTGTGTGACTAACTTCATGGAACATAATCTCCTCTAGATCCATTGCTGTTATGAGGTGTTTCACAGTTTCATCATTTTTTTCTTTAGTGATAGGTACTATACCATTGTGCGTATGTACCAACATTTATTTGTTCCTATCAATGGGCATTTCAGGTTTTTTCATCTTCTTGCTTTTGTTAGAAGTGCTCTCATGCATTTGGGTATGCATATATCAGTTTGTGCTATCCTCCTTTTTTGTAGGGTATGTACCAAGTAGAGGGATTTCTGGGTCATGTTATTTCTATTCCCAGCAGCCCACCATACCACTTTCCTCAGTGGTTGTACTGTTTGACAGTCACACTGGGAGTGTGTGAGGTTTCCCATATCTCAGCCCCTTCTCTTAGCATTTCTAGTTTCTGAACTTTGAAATCAGTTCTGAGGTGAGCTGGTATCTAACCATTGTTTGGATGGCTAGTTATTGTAAGCGTTTCTTCATTTGCTGGTTGGCTATCTGTCTTTCCATAACTGTCTGTTTATGTCTTATCAATTTTTTAATTGAACTATTCATCCTTTTTCTTGTTGAGGGGTTAAGTTTTCTATAGATTGTAGTGATGAATTCCTTATCTGATACACATCAATTCCACCCTCCCCCCCCCCTCCCCAATCCATTAGTTCTCCTTTTAGGAGAACTATATTTTATATCTATCTTTTGTCTTTTGTTGTGTTGCAGGGTGTGTGTTTTTCATTATGGTTGATCATGTATTTAAGCCATTTATTAGGCTTCCTTAGGTTGTCCTCATTTTTCTATTAATGAGCTTTTCAGTTTTAGGATTTACATTTAGTTCTTTAATCCATCCGTGGTTTTCTTTCTTCTTTCATTTTTAATGGAGTGAGGTTAAGGGTTCTGTGTCATTCTTTTGCAGATGATAATCCAATTTTGCCAGAACCATTTGTTGAAAAGATTATCTCTTCCCCCATGTAATGTGTTTTTGTCCTTTATCCAAAATAAGTTGTCTGTAGGTAAATGAATTTCTTTCTTGAGTCTCCCTTTTGTTCCATTGGTCTGTGTATCTCTACCAGGCTGTCTTGACGATTGGAGCTGTGTAGTAGGTTTTGAAATCTGGGACTGAGAAGCCTCTTGTTTTGTGCTCTTCAGCCGTTCTTTGCTTATCTTGGTTATTTGGTTTCCTTATAATGTTGGTCATTGGTTTTTCCATATTTTTTAACAATGATAAGGAATTTAAGTTGGAATTGTTTTATAGTTATAGATGGCATTGGGTAGTATTGACAATGTTAATTAATACTGTTGACAATAGTTTTCACAATGTTAAGTCCTATTTTTGAACATGGTATATTCCTCCATTTATGTGAGACTCTTGTATTAAAGTTTTACAGATTTTTTTGATGCAAGTTATTTGTTTCTCTAATTAGATTTATTCATAAGTATTTTATCTTTGGATGGCTATTGTAAGTGGTTATTGTTTTCTTGATTTTTGTATCAGAGCTTTCTTTGTTAGCATACAGGAATTCAATTGATTTTTACATGTACTTATATCCTGTCACTTTGCTGAATCTTAGATGAGTTCCAACAAATTTCTTCTTGAGTCTTTGATTTTATATGTATAGAATCATATCATCTGCAAATAAAATGTATACTCCCCACAGACTACACCTGTATGGTCAAGCCCAAGGAACCCTTGAGTCTGTGTGTGCCCTCTTGCTCTTCAGATTTGAAAATAGCCTTAAACTGGTTTGGTGGGGTGCAGGACACAGGCAGCCTTCACTAGTTTCACAACTGCTGAGCATGCCATCAGGGGCGGGGAACCCCTTTGTACCAGGGAACCATGAAGAACTAGGGATCCGTTCAGCCTCCTGTACTTTTGATGTTCAGCTCCCTTAACAATTTTTTCTTCAGTGATTCAGGCTTCCGGGTTTTTCTTCCTTATCTCTTTTTCCAGGACTTTGTTAAAGAGGGTTTGTGTTGTATGCTTGTATAGGTCACTTTGTTCACCAGAAGTGTCTGTATTTAGGTTTATAAGGTACCTGTATCTTCAGTAGAAATTTTGTTAGACAAAATAATTTAGAAACTTAGGACTGATCATCACAGCAGAACTCATGCGTTTTAGAGAGATTCTGGGGACCAGCATGGAAACTGCTTCATAGTTATAGTCATGGGAGAGATTTTTAGGATAGCTCCTGAAGTTCTTTCATGAGCTATGAACTTAGAAATGTAAGAATGGTTTTTATTAAATAAATGTATTCATCTTAAAGAAGTTTAAATTATTCTCTGGTGAAGATTAATGCTCAAATATTTTTAAAATCTGGTATCATTTTGAAATATAATAGGTTAAATGTGCTAGGTTTATTGTACTTCATCCAATTGAATGTTAAATGTTGAAAATAGCGCATATATATATATATATATATTTTAAAGCTCCAATGACATTTATTGGGTCAATTTTGAATATTTTTATTTTCTTTCTCAAGTAACCATTTATTAATTTTGATGACATTTAAATGACAAAATACCAACTCTCATTGCAGTTGTATTAAGTTTACAGATTCTTTGGGGTGGTGGTGGTGTGGTGGTGGTGGTGGTGGTGGTGGTGGTGTTTCATTGGATTGGTGTTGAATTTTGAATCTATAGGTTGTAGGTTTGGTTTTAAAACTTGCCTCTGGATTACTTAAGAACACTCCTTAGAAGAACTTTGAGAAACATAGGAAAGCGTCAAGATTATTTGCTATTTATTTTGTAGTAAGTGTGATAACAAGGTGTTCTGGTGGCACAGTGTATTAAATATTAGGCTGTTAATCACAAGATTGATAGTTCAAATCCACCAGGAGAAAGATGAGATTGTCTGCTCTGTAAAGATTTACAGCTTCAGAAACCTTGCATAGACATCACTCTGACTTGGAATCAACTTGGTGGCAGTGGGTTTGATTTCTTTTAATAGTCCTAGCAGATGAAATATTACAATGAACTCAACACAAAAATATATCCTTTAAGATATTTCATTTTATTTTTCCTTTAAAATATTTTAATTTGGCATGTGTTAACTATTGATTCTTCTGTACAGTTTTTCTAGGTGGAAATGATTGTTTTAATACATTGAAATAGATTAGAATTTCTCCAAGTATTATGTTTGAGTATACATTTAATTTTGTTTCTGTTCATATATATAGTTAAATGAATATTAAAGAAGTCGCTACACCAAAAAAGCACTAATCTATACTTTTTTTTTTTTGTTTAATGTGTTCAAACAGAAAAGCCTCCTAATAAAAGCAGTATGAGGATAGTAGTGGATTCAGAATCAAGAAAAAGAACAATTGGTTCTGGGGAGCCTGGAATTCCTACAAAGAAGACTTGGTTTGATAAGTAAGCTGGCAGGAAAAATTGAGGACTTCCATTGTGCATTTATAATCATTGATTATTATTGAGTATAGTATTCAATAAAAGAGTATAGAATTATTTTTCCAAAAACATTATCTTACTTTGTTATAAGTTCTGTACGTAGTTCCCAACTATGTACATTTTTTGTTTTATTTTGTTTTTTAATGTGTAAGTTCAATGTCTGTTACTTGGAAGGCATTTTCGTAAAGGAATGGTATGATGGCTTAGGAAACATTTTATACTTTTTTCATGATCTTCCCACTCCATTGATCCTCCAAAAAACCCTTGTTTAAAAAACACTGTTGAATGTTAGCTATCTATATAAAGAATACTCTTGAGTTCATTATTAAACCAAGGGATGGTAGATGGGGTCTGGAAGGTGCTTTAAGCATTTGTGAAGTTCCTATTAAAAACTAGAAAGCCTCCCCTTTTGCCCCCCACCGCCTTAAAAACAAAAAACAACACAGGGACCTACATAGACACTAGGGTGTCAAGGAAGAGCTGTAAAGGAAAACCTGTATGAAATCAGAACAACCCTGCATTGAAAGTTTTTCTTTTGAAGAATTGCATATAATCTGCAATTCTATGTGGTCTATAATTCCAACATATATCTATTTTAAAGCTGGAAAGAGATTGTGTCAGTGATTCTTTTTTAATCAAATGGAAAATAGAATGTGTTTTAGTAACCTAACTTTTGCAGAAATAACAAGAACGTGTATGTGTAGGTTGATTAGAAAAGGGTACTAGAAAGTTTCCTGTTAAGAATTTCAAGTAATGTTGGGCAAAAGTGATATGGAAGGAACCCTCTTTTGGTTACATGAAAAATAATACAACTTTGAATTTGGAAGTTTTATGGAAAATAATTTAAAGTTATCAAACCATTTTACATCAATTTGGGGGATGGAGGGGGGTGGAACTTGACATTCAGTTTACACTTGAAACTTTCATTTCTTTATACTCGGCAGTGGTAGGCATTCTAAGTGTACTAATTAACTTCCTTTTTTTGCAGACCAAATTTTAATAGAACAAATAGCCCTGGCTTCCAGAAGAAGGTTCAGTTTGGAAACGAAAATACCAAACTTGAACTTAGAAAAGTTCCTTCCGAATTAAATAATATCAGCAAACTTAATGAACATTTTAGCCGCTTTGGAACCTTAGTTAATTTGCAGGTAAGTACTCTGAGATGATTCTGTTAAATCTGTGTTCTAATTATTTAGTGAATTTTCATTTTGATTGATCGTATTATTATTACAAACAGTGAATAATAATAGAAGTTAACATAAACTCATAGCAACATTAAATAACCACACTGGTAAAAGCTATTTTTTTTTTAACTTTTAAAAGATTAATCATTTTTTCACTATTTCAAAATTAATCATTTTATTGGGGGACTCTTCTAGATCTTATGACAATCCTTAATTCAACTGTATTTTCATTTTTTAATCATTTCATTGGGGGCTTGTACAACTCATCACAATCCATACATACATCTATTGTGTCTAGCACATTTGTACATTTGTTGCCCTTGTCGTTCTCAAAACATTTGCTTTCTACTTGAGCCCTTGGTATCAGCTCCTCATTTTTCTCCTCCCTCTGTGGTCCCCTCCCTCATAAACCCTTGGTAATTTATAAATTATTATTATTTTGTCATGTCTTAACACTGTCCAATGTCTCCCTTCACCCACTTTTCTGTTGTCTGTCCCCCAGGGAGGAGGTTATATGTAGATCCTTGTAATTGATTCCCCCTTTCTACCCCACCTTCCTTCCACCCTCCCAGTATTGCCACTCTCACCACTGGTCCTGAAAGGATCATCTGTCATGGATTCCCTGTGTTTCCAGTTCCTCTCTGTACCAGTGTACATCCTCCGGTCTAACCGGATTTGTAAGGTAGAATTGGGATCATGATAGTGTGGGGAGAGGAAGCATTTAAGAACTAGGGGAAAGTTGTATGTTTCATTGTTGCTACACTGCACCCTGACTGACTTGTCTCCTCCCCGTGACCCTTCTGTAAAGGGATGTTCAGTTGCCTACAGATGGAATTTGGGTTCCCACTCCGCACTCCCCCTCATTCACAATGACATGATATTTTTTTCTTTGATGCCTGCTACCTGATCCCTTCGACACCTTGTGATCACACAGGCTGGTGTGCTTCTTCCATGTGGGCTTTGTTGCTTCTGAGCTAGATGGCCGCTTGTTTACCTTCAAGCTTTTAAGACCCCAGATGCTATATCTTTTGATAGCCAGGCACCATCACCTTTCTTCACGTTTGCTTATGCACACATTTGTCTTCAGTGATCGTGTCGGGAAGGTGAGCATGATCGAATGCCAGTTTAATAGAACAAAATGTTCTTTCATTGACGGAGTATTTGAGTGGAGGCCCTATGTCCATCTGCTACCTTAATACCAAACCTATGTGCACATAGATCTATTTCCCCATCTCATATATAAATATATATCCATATGTACATGCCTTTATTTAGACCTCTATAATTGCCCTTTGCCTCCTAGTTCTTGCCTCTATTTCCTTTTCCTTTCCTCTTGTCCCACTTACTTTCCTCATGTTAAGCCTTTATTTGGGTTTCAGTAATTTCTCAGTTACATTGCCCTTGATCAAGCCCTACCAGTCAGTCCTCGTACACCCTCCTTGCCACTGATTTTGGATCACTTGTTGTTCCCTTGTCCCTGGGTTTGTTAACACCACTTCCTTTCCCCCACCTCCCCCTCTCCCATGTCCCCCGAAACATTCGGTCCCCTTGTTTTCTTCTCCGACTTGTTTATCCAGCTTATCTTACCTAAATAGACCTTCAGAGATAATATGCATAAAAGCAAGACAGAGCAAAATAAAGCAACAACAAAACAGTGACCAGAGAAAAAGAAAATCCTATAAATAATAGTTCAAGGTCTGTTTCTTGACCTTTAGGTATGTTTTCCAGTCGAGTCTGATGGAGTGCCACGCCCTGGCCCCAAAGTCTATTTTTGGTACACCTTCGGGACTTCCTTGCTCTGCTCCCTTTGCTATTCTGTTGCACGCCCTTTGTGTTTTGCCTCAGTGTGGTGGGGTCAGATTGGGCGCAGTTCCCACACTGTGTCTCCAGTATTGTAGGGTTATGGGTCAGTGAGGGATGTCTTGCCTTATAGCCAGCCCGGCCATATGGTCCTCTCTCTGCATTGGCTGCTCTGGGCAGGGATATTATCCTCAATGCTTGCTGGACCAGGCTGTGATCCCTCCCCCTTCATTTGCTCCCGTGTGCTCTGATCAGACATGTTCCTCTCCCGGAGCTGCAGCTTCAGTGCTGTCCTCTGAAGTAAATTCTTCTGAGCTGAGAGGGAGAGCTGTCCATGTAGTTGGGATTGGGGCAGGCCCCTCAGACCTCTCTACTGGTTCATGCCGGTATGGTGCATTCACATCTTGGGGCACTGGGTTGAAGTCTGGTCTCTCTTTCCATGTGGAGATATAAAAAATATCCTTCCTTTGGGTGGGTTAGTTCCCTGGTTACCCTGCTACCCATTTCGGTAAAAGCTAATCTTAGTAGTAATTTTCAGTTCCTCACTTTTTCAAAATTAGTTCATTAGTATTTATCAGTCAGATTTGGTTTGGGCACTACTAAGGGAGGGGTGCATTTAACAGATACTTTGGGTTCCCAATGTCATGCATATTACCCATCATTAGTTTGCCACTTGAATATCCTTTGAAAAAAATGTCAGTGTAATTTGTACTTGACTTCACTTAAAAATCAGTACAATTTTTATTCATTGTTATCTACAATAAAATGTTAGTTTGGTTGTATATAACTTCTGCAGTTAATCAGTATCAGTTTATATTATGTTTTATGTTGAAAGTGTTAAAATAATGCCATTGGGTTGTCCTTCCTTCTCATTATGTAACATTTTAAAAATTTCAATTAAAATAATTACCTTTCATAGTTACAATAACATTTTTGAGAGTACAGTTGTTTTGGAAATGATCTCTTCTATTAATAAAGAGAGGAGCCTGGGTGGCATAGTGGGTTAAGAGAATCTTTGCATTGGACTGTCAAGCTCAAGGCCTCCAGTTCAAAAGCACTAGCTGCTCCATGGGAGAAAAAGATAGCTTTCTACTCTCATAAAGAAAGAGAGCCTTGGAAACCCACAGGGGCAGTTCTACTCTGTCCTACAGTGTGCTGAGAGTGGTAGTGAGTTTGGTTTGTTATTAAAACAGTAAGTTAAAAACTATGGTTTTGGGGGGTGGGGGTGGGTAATTGTGTGTGTGTGTGTGTGTGTGTGTGTGTGTGTGTGTGTGTGTGTGTAAAATGTAAAGAAAATGTTTCCTTCAATTTTTTACACATCCTTCCCAATGTGTAGTTATTAGTTTTTTGTTAAATATATCTCAGAGTAATACAATTATGCATGCATCTGTCAATAGACACATTAAAAAATAGATGGCCCACACTGAATTTTACTCTATTGTTATTACTGTATCTTGGATATAATTTTATATCTCAATTTGATTTACTGCATTTCACTTCTACCTAAAGTACTTGGTGTTCTCACTTAACTACACCAGTCAGGTGAAATCTTAAAACATTTCAAAATTGATGGTAAAACATAGAACCTCTCTATTTCAATTTGTATTTCCTTAATTACCAGTGAGATTGATATCTTTTCATCAGTTTACTGGCCCTTTAGCTTCATTTGTGTTGTCAGTGCATTATTTGAGAAATTTATATTGTGTTTGTTCATTTAAAAAATACCCTTAATGTAGGTAAAATGATTGGTAACATTTTCAGTGCTTTAAAGTTCTATAAATATGAATGGAAAACTACCCTAAGTAGGTCTTTCAAGTTTGTGAATATTTTCAGGAACAGGAAGCCTCATCTTGTGACAGCCGATCAGCTGGTGTATTAGAACTATCGACCTTGTGGTTGGCAGTCCCATGTATAACCAAATAATCCAAATAATAAGTAAATACAAAACTAGAATCTTTCTTGGGAGAGTCGGTTATTCAGTTTTAGAAGCACTGTATGAAGCAACAGATCTTTTGGAAATTCACTGTTCTTAATATTTTAAATCTTAGGTTGCTTATAATGGTGATCCTGAAGGTGCGCTTATCCAATTTGCAACATATGAAGAAGCAAAGAAAGCAATATCAAGTACAGAAGCAGTGTTGAACAATCGCTTTATTAAGGTTTATTGGCATAGGGAAGGAAACACCCAGCAATTACAAACGAATTCTCCAAAGGTAACCGAGAAGTGTAGGCAAAGTTAATGGTTTTCTTCATTCCTTAGCATAGTGTTACAAAATATAGTCAGCTAAGCTTGAATTCAGAGTCAGGCTTTCCTACTGTTCATCTATATAGATTTGAGAGTTTTTAAACCCTACTTATTTTTTTATTTAATTGTGGAGTCAACTCTTAGTTTAGAGAATTATAAAGTATGTCTAAAAAGCATAGAATTGCTACCCAGCTACTTTCCCACCCTGTCCCCAGTTATTCAGCAAATCAATTAATAAGCAATTTTGTAATGCTTATAGATTGGTACAAATGGGTTTTCGCTTTATTCCTCAGAAATGACTTATTTATTTATTTTTGCGAAGGAAATTACTATCTGTGCTTGTAAAAAAATGGAAGAGGTCGGTTTTGATTAAGAATTGCATTTTAAAAAGTTACACAAGCTACTTGGTAACATTATTATAGAAGTTATTTTTTCATGCTTATGAAAAATTTCATTTTTTCTTGTTCTGAGGTAATACAGCCTTTAGTGCAGCAACCTATATTGCCTATTGTGAAGCAGTCAGTCAAAGAGCGGTTGGGTCCAGTACCTTCAAGTAACATTGAACCTGCAGAAGCTCAAAGTGCCAGTTCAGACCTTCCTCAGGTAAATAAAAGGTCGTATGATTGTGCTTGCCATATACTAAGGCCTCGATAATTAGTTTCCTTTAGTGTTTTGAATTAATAGCTAATTGTTTATACTTTATGTTGAAATATGACCGCCTTTATGTATTTGAACCTCACCTCTAAAATTTTAGACTTATTTTTAAATCAGTACTTTAACATGTGCACTGTCTGCCCTTTTTTATGTAGTACTTGCATCCTAAGTTCTCTTGTTAATAACTATGAGGACATTTTTTCTCTCATTTGGTAGAGGAGACATGTTTAACAATGCCACCTGGAAAGTGATATGTTACATTAATCATTTTTCTATCTTTTTACTTAATATAAATATTATTCTGCAGATTGTTGTATACTAAATCGAAAGTTTTAGGGAAGTGAAGGCTTAAACCATCAGCTGATAGTATACTTCAGAATTTACTGTTTCACTTTGCACCTCTCAGAGGTTTGCATCACTTCCACCTGACTCTAGTATTCTCTCTTCCTTATATCCTTCCCTTGCCACTCCCTTTTACACTTAAGTGGCAAATTCTTGTTTATACAGTGTCAATTTCTGAAACTTATCTTTCCTTTGTTTCTAGATGTTTCACATTTGTTGTGTGAAATAGTTAGAATGTTGTATCTTGCTAATGGATACTACCTTATTAGACTAGTCCCTAGAAAATTCCTGAAAAGCAGGATATTCAGATTATATAAAAATATACAGAATGTAAATTGTTAGAATATTATTTACTGAAAATACAGCCAATTAATCCTAATATTCCGAATTATCAGCAAATTCAGCATACTTGGATATAATGCAAATAAACTAAATAAAAAAGGAAAGTGTTTTGTTGTTTAGCTTGAGAAACAAGCTAATATTTTACTGAAATCTAAGTTTAAAATATTCATACTTTTTATTTGCCAACATGGATTCAATGAAATTTATGATTCTATATTAGTGGAGAAAAATGAGGCTTTCAAATCCCGTAAAGAGGTATAGTCTGAGAAACCCATAGGAACAGTTCCACCCTGGCCTATAGGACTGCTATGAGTCAGAATTGACTTGACAGCGAGCTTGAGTATTAGTGAACAGAACTGTTCTAGTTAGTCACCTGATTTAAGCCTCTTATTGTACACTGGAACTTTTCACAATTGAGTTAATATTGTATATTATTTTTGTTTTTCATGTGTTTTCTTTTTTTCTCTTCAAAAAATTATAAGGTTTTTGTGATCAGCATCAGTAAACATGTAGACTTGGTGTGAATTAAAAAAAATCAGTATATTCAAAACCCAACAGGCCTTTCTGTTTGGGCAAACACTGAATATGTCCATTTTAATTTTTTTAGAATGTAACTAAGTTATCTGTGAAGGACAGGTTGGGTTTTGTATCAAAGCCAACTGTTTCAGCAACTGAAAAGGTAAGCAGAATATGTGTTTGTTTGTCTTGGCTTCATAAATGTTTTCAGGTGGCATTTTAAGTTTTCAGTATTTTCTGTTCTAAATTCTGCTTCTTAATAGTTTATTTACTGAAAACAAAAAAATATTTGTCCTTATTTTTTTATTTTACCTTACACATCAGTGTTTTAATATTTTCCTTTCACTGTATTTCCATGTGCTCATCCCCTCCTACCCCGGAGACATTATAAATTTTAATTTGACAAACCTAGCAGCCCTAATGGATTAGGGATTTTCCTGGGTTTAAGCCTTAAATCCTTACTGACTGCATGATGGTTGGGCATTCTCTGAGCTCTTGTGCATCATTTTTCCTTATTGGCAAAATGGTGATACTACTGTTTGTCTTGCTCACGTGGTTTTGTGAGGATCAAGTAAAATTGCACACTAAAAGTATTTTTTAATTGGGAAAGGAAAGGGTACATGTAAGTTTTTAATGAGGTATATGAGATCACTAAATATTAGAATTACATAATATTCTCATCCTATAATTTTATTCTAAAGCTAAGGCTCAAATTGCTCTGAACTATGTACAATGAGTTATTGAACCGGGCTAAAATCTGGGTGTCTTATGTTTAGTCCATGGCTCTTATAAAGTTTACAGTGGGAAATTGAATGCACCATCCCATGAGATGACTGATCCCCACTGTCTTTACTGATTCCTCAATATATTATTTTTCTTATGTATTGTTTTTAACTGGTCACACTAGAAATTTGACTCTGAGTCTGATTCTTTGTATTCAACCTTCCTCTTCAAGCATAACTTGCCTACAATGAGTAAATTGCTTCCAATATTAATTACTGTCTCCTCATAGCCCTCAACTTTGAAAGTGACCTTGCCATTTTCTAAGTTGTGCAATCTAAGAGCCTTGGAGGCATTTACTTCATTTTGTGGTCTACTTGCTGTTTTCCATCCCTTTAAAGTACCCCAGCCTCTGGATGCAGTGTGCCCACTGGCATCTCTGAGTTCTCTTCTTCTAGTTAGCACTCTTGCCACACTTATTTGAATACTAATTCATTGTAGAAACTTGGCTTCTCGCTTAATTTATTTGAGTCACAGTTCATGATACCTAACATTTCTCATCCTGTTATTTCTGTGCTCCTAGTTTGGTGTACACACACACACAACACACACACACACACACACACACACACACACACACACTTTTTTCCTGCTGATTTTTCTTTGCTTAACGGAATTGTCATCATCCTTTAAATAAATGTTCAGAAACTCTCGTTTCATAATATTTCAACATATTTGATGGCCTACCCTGCTCCTTTTTGTTGCATTCCTGTACTGCTTAGTTTATTCTTCTAACTTTTACTGTTCTAAGTTTATCCTCTTTGGTAACAAGTGACTTAGGAATAAAAGAACAATATAAAGTATTTTATACTTAATATACTACTGAGCATTTCTTGGTCTTCTAAATATCTCATTAAATGTGTTTAGGATTTGTTTATGTCAACATTTGAACACTGAAATTGAAATCTATAGTTAACGTAACTTTTCTAAACTTTTCTAATATGTTTTAATACAGTTTTCAAGTTGTTTCATGTGGTTTTATAATAAATTAAGCACAAATTGGGAATTATGGCATAACTATCAGTAAAGTTTCACAAAGGAACACTAATGGTTGGGCTGGCGGGAAGTTGGGGTGCTTCTCAGGAAATGTTGTAAATACTCTTTTTAAGGAAAAAATGTTTATTTTCAATACTCAGACTTTCAAGCATCTACAGTGAACCTGTTTAGAGAACAGCATCAGTTTTTGCTTACTCGTGGTTGTTTCTGTTTTTCCAAGTTGGGGTTTGGCTACACAACCCTATGAGGGTGGTGATTTAGAGAAGTCTGAAGAAGAATAGAAAAAATGTTTCCCATCATCAGATCTAGGTTTTTTCCTTTTTAAAAATCATTTCATTGGGGCTCATAGAACTCTTTATCACAAGCCATACATCCATCCATTATTGTGTTAAGCACATTTGTTGCCATCATCATTCTCAAAATATTTTCTTTCTACTGGCGTCCTTGGTATCAGCTCCTCATTTTTCCCCTCCCTCCACCACCCTCCTTCACAAACCCTTGATAATTTATAAATTATTATCATTATTCATGTCTTACACTGTCTGATGTCTCCTTTCCCCCACTTTTCTGTTGTCTGTCCCCCAGGGAGGGGTTATATGTAGACAGATCTAATTTATTTTTTTAATTTGAAGGCAGGAGAAAGCTCAAAGTTGCTATCTACCTAGTACGTCTGTTGTTGACAAAGCAAACAAGTATACAGTTGTAAGATTATAAAATTTTATCCCCTTTCTGTAAACAATAGCAAGTATAGCTTTTAGTAATTCTTATTAGATTTATAAACATTTCCTTTTTGTTATAAGGGCTGGGAGAAAGGAAACTTTAAAACTAGTTGATATCACTAAATATTAAAATATAATAGATAGTATTAAGGGAAGTAGTAGATTCTTGGAATAGTGGAATGGAAAATTAAAGAATATTTCCACGAACATTCTGAAGCCCCCTCACATATTCAGGATAGTGGTGAGAGGGTGCTTGAGTACTTCTGCTTACTGTAGAGGATAGGAAGAATAAAGGTGCTGTCTACATACAATCTTGAAAAAATAAATAGAAGAATTTATACTATATTGTTAAATTCTTAGAAGGCAAATTGGGTAATCAGTTGATTATTTAATGCTAACATTTGTGATATTAGGATGTTGGTTTCTGGTGTTCTATGCATTCTAAAATATGTCTTGATTCCTTGATGATAATGTTAATAGCTTTACTGTGGTACTGTTAAAATGGGATTCATGTGATATAATGGAAAGAGTGTCATATGGGAACTTCAGCTCTTGTTTAGCAACTGCCATTCAGCGTGATATTGAATAGGTCGCTTTTGCTTTCCTTAACTATAATGCAATCATCCTAATAGCTGTTTGGGGTTTTAATTGAATTTATGTAAATTTGCTACTTAAAAGCATGTGGAGATTTATGATAGTATTGTTTCTTTTTGTAAATGACAGTGAAGTTATTTTTTAATTGCTTTCTCCTTTGTCGGGAGTAATTTAGTGTAAGATATTTTAAAAGATATACATAATCTATTTCAAATTATTTGCTTAAAGTTCTAGGAACCAAGCTATTTTAGGAAAAACTGAGTAGTACTATATATGCTTTTCTTTTATGTTAAATATTCCTATTTAAGATCTATAATCCTTCTTTCTCTTTGAGTGACTTAAGATTCTTGAAAGGTATAAACTTGTTAATTCCTAAGAATATTTCAAATTCAACATTAAAATGTTAGTACTCTCGCTCGAAATTCCAGAAAGTGAAGATTTGCTCTATAGATGTGCTGCATTGTGAGAATAACATAAATGAACATAAACACAGCTCATTGTGTGAGTATTAAGCATCATGACTGCATTTCTTTCTTTATTTAACAGTTTATTGATAATAATATATTCACATATAATACAATAAAATAATTCGTTTATAGTTAGAGTTTTACAATCATCACCACAAACAGTTTTAGGTGACGGTATTTCTTATCCAGTTGATTCCACCTTGGGCGTCTGTAATTGAAAAGTGTTATTTGGATAACTCAATTTATATTAATTTTCGCTTACATAATTTTTACAAAATACTTCTTTTTCGATCTTCTGTGTTTATCTAGAAGAAACAACTATTTTTCTGTACAAAGATTGGTAGTACTTATAACACAACCAAAACTAACCCTACTGCTACTGAGTCAATTCTGACGTATAGTGACCTTATTATAGGGTTTCCAGGATTAAAAACCAGGATTATGAACATATTAAACTCAATCTTCTCTGAAGGAATAGCTGGTGAATTTGAACCACTGATCTTGGAGTCAGCGGCCCATCACCTAACTGACAGTGCCTCCAAGGTCTCTAGTTGTTAATAGATGGTAATATTTATATTAGAAATAAGATAAGGGGTTTTTAATGGATTATAACCTCTATCTTTTTAAGGAATTTTTGTTTCTTTTTGTCTTGAAGTCAAGAGGTGCTAGTGCTAATACATTTTAAAAACAGAACATGATAATTCATGTCTTTTCTGATGGTCCAATATAACTTTAATGTCAAAACTTTATTAAGTATATTATAAGAGGAAAGTTACATGCCAATACAGGTCATAAATATATACACAAAGATCCTAAACAAAATATTAGCAAAAGTGTCAAGTGATATATACTAGGTAGGATTTAAACCAGAAGTGCTTGGTTAGTTTACCATTGGAAAGTTTAATTTACCATATTCACAGAATAAGAAAGGGTTGGAGAGGGAGACAGAGGAGACATCTATCATTTTGATGAAAAAGTATACAATTAGTTCAATTTTCAATTACATAAAAGAATCTAAAAATTAAGAATAGAAGGAAACTTTCTTAATCTGACAGAAGATATCTACCCACCTCAAATTCTATTTGTATATTTAATGGTAAGAAATGATGAGGGCAATGAATGTACACATGTGCTTTACACAATTGATGTTATGGATTGTGGTAGAAGTTGTATGAGCCCCTTATAAAATGATTTTTTTAAGAAAAGAAATGACGTACTTTTTCACCCAAATCAGGAATAAGGCAGTGATGTTCCCTCTTATAGTGCTCATTACCATTTAGTCACTGCCAACTCATAGCAGTCCTATAGGACCTGGTAAACTGCCCTGTGAGTTTACAATCCTGTAACTCTTTACAAAAGTAGAAAGCCCCATCTTTCTCCTTAGAAGCTGCTGGTGGTTTTCAATTGCTCACCTTGCAGTTAGCAGTCCAATATTTAACCATTATGGCTCATATATCATATGATATATATGTATATGTACATATACATTTAATTAAAACATAAGAAAATATTACAGTAAGATAAGAAAAGAAAATGTTACACAGATTGGGAAGGCAGAATATACAGAGGGTGGGGCATATAGCAAATTCAGAAGTGTTCACAGTTAG